GGCCGCGGTTGGGCTCTGGCCCGCAGGGCTCAGCCTGGGTCAGGAAGCCGGAGTGGATCCGGCTGGGAGCGAGGCCGTAGGTGGGCCCACGGGCGGCCTCTGGCCTACGTCTGCCTCCTGGCTCCTGCTCTTCCGTGGGGGACAGGTTGGCGACCTAACCCTTCCCGCCGCCGGCCCCGGCCGGAGGCGTTCCTTTTCCGCGCAGGCAGGACCCTGAGCACCTGTTGAGGGGCCGGGGCTGGATGCTGGACACGATTGTAAGGCTTAAGAGGGGGCAGTTGGTGTGCTACGAAGAATACTAATGACATCCCTAGCTCCCCGCTCATGCGTCCCAGTTCTGAGATCAGAGGCCTCCAGGGTCTGTCAATCCAACACCTTCACTATAAAAATGTCTTTAAAAAAAGAAAAAAGCCATCCAAACACAAAAAGGATGTGCGCAGCAGTGGAATTTTCCCCCCATTTTAATTTGAAGTGGGGTGTGTGTGTGTGTGTGTGTGTGTGTGCGCGTTTGTATGTGTGTGTTTGGGCAAGATAGGCTGCCAGAGGCCTGATTACTATATTAGTGATTCAAAATACATGTTTAAGCCCAAGGAAGAAAGCCGCACGTGCGCACACACACATCACCAGCCACGCAGCAGCAGCTCTGCTGTTCCCATTGGATTAAACAATCTTCTTAGTCATTAACATATTATTTTGTTCATGCATTGCTGTACAATTTGATTCTCCACATTCAAAATATTTTCAGATCATAGCAACCAAAGGTTCACATTTCTCTCATTTTATAGCTCAGCATCTGAGAGCTGGAAAGAGCTTTTTAAACTCGTCCAACCCCCTTATTTAACAGATGAGGAAATTGAGGCCTAGAAACATGAGCCTTGCCTGGGTCTTCAGTAACAGAGAAGCAGAGCATGAGGACTGCTAGGTTCTCTGTGTCTTGGATGTCCTTCCCTTATATCATGGCCACTTTTGCCCCTTTCTCTTTTTCTTGTCAAATGACTGAAAGGATAAAAAATAAAAAAAAAAAAAGCCTAATTGGGGTTACCTTGGTCATTGCAGATGGGTGGCTTGGTGTTGGCTCATATTTTTGGCTCTAGTCCTCCTACAATTTTCCCAAGTATATTTTTCTCTCAGCTAAATGCCTTTTTGTTCCCTAAATCCAAGGATGTTCAAAGTTTAATGTTTGTGTCTTGAAACGTGGACTACTCTACCTGTTTACAGGGAGATCCTGTACATCCTACATGATCAACTATCTGAAACTCTGCCCGCTGCTGTACTGGGCAGCCAATTGTCATGGCAATGACAACCCCCTCCCACTGTTACATTTCACAGAAATGCCTGTGGTAAACCAATCAATCCCCATTTCCACCCTCCTGGAAAAAACACATAAAAACACCCAGCTTCAAACATTTGATGCCAAACTTGTCATCAGTGTCTGGCCCCCTTTCCAATCTTGGAGAGGTGGATCCATCTTTTTTCTCTAATCTACCTTTTAAATACACTTTTTTCTAAACTATTCTTTGTGCAGTTCTTTGCAATTTTCTAGCGACACCAGCACACTGACCTAATAATAATGGAAGGGTAGCCGGGCTCAGTGGCTCAGCCTGTAATCCCGCGTTTTGGGAGGCTGAAGTGAGTGGATTGCCTGAGCCCGCGGGTTCGAGACCCACCTGGGCAACTTGGCGAGACCTCATCTCTACAATAAAAATCAAAAAATTAGCCAGGCGTGGTAGCGTGCGCCTATAGTTACAGCTACTTGGAAGGCTGAGACGGAAGGATTGCCAGAGCCTGGCAGGTCGTGGCTGCAGTGACTGGGAGCGGCCACTGCACTCCAGTCTGGGTGACAAAGTGAGACTCCAACTTAAAAATAATAAAAATAGCCGGGGCCAGTGACTCAGCCTGTAATCCCGTGCCTTTGGGAGGCCGAGGAGAGTGGATTGCCTGAACCCATGGGTTCGAAACCCACCTGGTCAAGCGAGACCTCATCTCTACAATAAATCAAAAAATTAGCCGGGCATGATAGCGCGCCTGTAGTTCCAGCTACTTGGGAGGCTGAGGCGGAAGGATCGCCGGAGCCCAGCAGGTCGAGGCTGCGGTGGCCGGGAGTGGCCACTGCACTCCAGTCTGGGCGACAGACTGAGACTCCAACTCAAAAAATAAAAATAAAAATAAAATAATAATAATAATAATGATGGAAGGTTACTGGGGACCTGGTTTTAACTCCAGGGAATTTGAAGAGGTTGCTTACCATTTCTAGGTCTTACATTGATGGTCTGGGACAACGAAGGTTAGACTTCCATATATCTGCAAATTTAGTGACAATAATTAGTTCTGGGATCCTGTGTCAGCCCAAAGATTGGGGATGGTGCGGTTTCTGTCACCTTACTTGTCCTTTGCCCCTCTTGAGAACTGGAAGACTTCACTCCTGGTAATGCTCCACTCTTAGGTGTGTGTAGACAAGTTCTTTTTTTAGATGGGAAAGCATCTGGTTTATTACCTTATAACTTGCCCTACGAGATGCCAGACCCTGTGCCCTGGGGACACAGAGGAGCTCAGAGCAGTGAGAAGGACAGGTAATAAACACAGAGGAAGGCAGAAGCAGTGTGACCAAAGTGCTTTAATAAACACAGTTAGAAATGCTTTGGGAACATTTTGGTTCAATAAACATTTACTCAGCATCTACTATGTACCTGGTACACAGGTTGTACTCAGTATATATTTCTTAAAGAAAAAAAATGGGCAAGAGAGAAAGCATGTGCAGGGAGTTTATGGAGACCATGAAAGAAGAAGCAATCTTAAACTGCCCAGTGGGATATGGATAAACAAAGATTTGTCCAGCAGGAAGGGATTTTGAGTGGAGCCTAGAAGGATCAGAAGAATTCAAGGTGGAGAGAGGGAATGAAGACATTCTAGTTGGAGGGAGTTGAGACTGGGTATGGTCAGAGCATCTCACTGGCTTCAGGCACATATGGGTTCAGTTCAAGGTACTTAAACTTTCAGAGCCTTAGTGTCCCCATGTAAAATGGAACAATAACATCGGCCTCTTCTGACTTCCCAGATTGTTGTAGGGCTTAAATGAGGTCACAATTTGATTTAATTAGCATTTGTGTCTAACTGGTAGAGAGTGGTTTAGAAAAGTCCTTTCAAAATTTTACTGTGCATAGTAAACACCCGGGGGAGGGGGTACTTGTTAAAATGCAGATTCTGATTCAGTAGTTCTGGGGTGAAGCCTGGGATTCTACATTTCTTTTTTTTTTTTTTTTTTTGAGTTGGAGTCTCACTCTGTCACCCAGGCTGGAGTGCAGTGGCCGCTCCCGGAACCGCAGCCTCAACCTGCTGGGCTCCGGAAATCCTTCCGCCTCAACCTTC